ATTCGAGTTGCCCTTTTCTGCACTTTTTCCAAAGCTATAATATCCTTTTTAAGGTGTGGTGACCAGAACTGCACACAGTATTCCAAATGAGGTCGCACCATTGATTTATAGAGGGGCATTAGGATATTGGCTGATCTGTTTTCAATACCCTTCCTAATAATCCCCAGCATAGCTTTGGCCTTTTTTTATTGCAGTCACACACTGTAAGACCTCCTACACGATTCGCGGGCTTTTCTCACTTGATAACAGATTGGTTAGAGTCAACACATGTGGCTTCCTGTTGACTAACAAAGTTGACTCTGGTTCAACTCGCTAAACTCAATGGTTTGAATGCCAGTTTTGACAAGCGTCGCAGAACTGGTTCCCGATCGTGTAATTGGTCAAATGCTGTGAATGTTTAAGATCTATGGCAGGGGCTGGCGGAGGCATCTGCCGACCTAACCTCGGAATGTTGTAAACCAAGGTTCTTTTGGTTGTTCAGTTCTCACGCTTGTGTTTGTATGCGCTTCCGAGGCTAAACACGTTGTCATATCAGCTCCCAAGGAAAGTCAGACGTGTTTCAGAAAATGCTTCAGCTGAGATCTGGAGTGGTGAGGGGTCGGTTTTGCCAAAGAGAGACCGTGCATGTTCAGGACACTTATCTGCAACAGCAGATATGCAGGTTTGGAAACGGGAAGGTCGTGGAAACGACTCGTGTACAGTTTCACGTGGAATTTTTCTCTCTTACATATTGCTTTTTTAAGGGCTCAGAGATGGAAGTCACAAAGTCACAAGTCACAAAATCCTGGCTACGGGCCTGTGTCTGCGGTTTGCCTTGGGCCTGGCGAGAGTCAGCCATTTTGTTCCCCGGGGAGTCGAAAGAGATCTGGCTGCTCTCAGTTTGGTGTTGTGGTGAAGTGCGTGGACTCTAATCTGGGAGAGCCGGGTTTGATTCCCCACTCCTCCACTTGCACCTGCTGGATGTCCTTGGGCAAACCACAGTTCTGTCAGAGCTGTTCTTGAAAAAGAGCAGCTTCTGTCAGAGCTCTCTCAGCCCCACCTACCTCGCAGGGTGTCTGTTGTGTGGAGGGGAAGGGAAAGGAGTTTGTAAGCCACGCTGAGACTCTTTCGGGGAGTGAAGGGCGGGGTATAAATCCAATCTCTTCTTCTTCTCAGGCACAGTCCTCGAGAGAGCTCTCTCAGCCCCACCTACCTCACAGGGTGTCTGATGTGGGGAGGGGAAGGGAAAGGAGTTTGTAAGCCGCTCTGAGACACCTTTGGGTAGTGAAGGGCAGGGTATGAATCCAATCTCCTCTTCTCTTCCTCCACATGCAGCTGCTGGTGTGACCTTGGGTCACTCACAAGTTCTGTCAGAGCTGTTCTCACAAGGGCAGTTCTCAAAAGAGCTCTCTCAGCCTCACCTGCCTCACAGGGTGCCTGTTTTGGGGAGGGGAAGGGAAAGGAGATTGTGAGCCGCTCTGAGACTCCTTTGGGGAGTGAAGGGCAGGGTATAAATCCAATCTCTTCTTCTTCTTCTCAGGCGCAGTCCTCGAGAGAGCTCTCTCAGCCCCACCTACCTCACAGGGTGTCTGTCGTGGGGAGGGGAGGGGAACGGAGTTTGTGAGCCGCTCTGAGACTCCTTTGGGTAGTGAAGGGCAGGGTATAAATCCAATCTCCTCCTCCTCCTCTTCTTCCCGCCTTTTTTTGCCTCTGGCCAAACAGGTTCCGCAGGCTTCGTCGGGATGTTTCCTTAAAACCCTGTTTGGTCCGGATGGCTGTGAGACCCGTGTACGACCCGTCGGAAATCAAATCCCTCCCCTCACAGATGACCGACTGTCTCCAGCTTCTGTTCGCAGGGAAGGGATGAAATAATAACACAACGCAACCTTTGCCATTCCTCGCCTCCCCCCCACCCCCATCAGCCTATCGAAACCAAACACGCTCCCCGCTACTTAAAAAGGGGAGAAAAAAAGCATCGTTCCGTCTTTGCGACATCCACAAGCCGAAATAAAAGAGTTGGGGGGGGGGGTTGGAAAATAATCGCCCCTGACAGATCGCTGGTAATGAAGGCGACGTGGTCGCTGCTTGCACCTCCCCCGGCTTCCACCCCCCAAGTTCCTTGCCTTTCCCATGCGCAGCTAATGCAAGCGGCGCATTCATTTGCCTATAGCTACAATCCTGCATTTTTCATCTGCCCTGGGGCTATCAGGCTGGGAGCTGAACAGAAAGGCCTTTTGGGGGGGAGAGGAGAGGAGAGGGGGGGTGCGGGGCGGGGCGGGGCAGCCAGTGCCACCAGCAGCGGGGACCTCGCAAGCCAAGGTCTCTTCATCCAGTGGGAACCAATGTGTCCTCTAAGCTGCGGAATCCCGTGAGCAAAAATGCAATTTTGTGAGCTACGGGCATTGAAGTGGTGAGTGAGCGACTAGGACGCTGCATCAATCCGTCTGCTCCGGAGCCATCCCTCCCTGAGCCAAGGCAAAATTGTGTGAGCCGGAGGCTAAAAAACTGTGAGCTGGCTCCCACCAACTCAGCTTAGAGGGAACACTGGTGGGAACCTGCGCATCCTTTCCGAGTCCTGAGCGTCACAGGTCTGGGCTCAGTACTAGCCTGAAGTATGCCTCCCCCCGCCTTCCGATCCAATCCCCTATGTATCCAACTCACTGTGAAATAAAAGTGGAGGGTTTTTTCAAAAAAAGAAAATGAATAGATTGTATTGCAATAATGAGTCTGAAGACCAGGTTGGGCAGTGTTCCCTCTAAGCTGAGTTAGTGTGAGCTAGCTCACAGCTTTTTTAGCCTCCGGCTCACACATTTTTGTCTTCGCTCAGGAAGGAGGGCTCCGGAGCAGACTTGATTTAGCCAAATCGCTCGCTCAAAACCTCAATGCCGGTAGTTCACAAAGAAGAATTTTTGAACATAAGAACATAAGAGAAGCCAATGTTGGATCTGGCCAATGGCCCATCCTGTCCAAAACTCTGTGTCATACAGTGGCCAGAAATACCAGGTGCCCTCAGGAGGTCCAGCAGTGGGGCCAGGACACTAGGAGCCCTCCCGCTGTTGACCCCCAAGCACCAAGACGACAGAGCATCCCTTGCCCCAGACCGAGAGTTCCTATCTGTAAGAAAGGTAAAGGTTTCCCTTGCTCGAAAGCCAGTTGAATCTGATTCTAGGGAGTGGTGCTCATCTCCGTTTCCAAGCCGAAGAGCCAGCGCTGTTGACATTTCCATGGTCATGTGGCCGGCATGACTAGACACCAAGGCACATGGAACACTGTTACCTTCCCACTGAAGTGGTACCTATTTATCTACTTGTAATTTCTTGCCTTTGAACTGCTAGGTTGGCAGGAGCTGGGACCAGAGACGGGAGCTCACTCCGTCATATGGCACTCGGGTCTCGAACTGCCGAACTACCGACCTTCCAGTCTGCAGTTCAGCGTCTTAACCACTTGAGCCACCACAGCCCTAAACTGATGGACCTCTGCTCCAGATGTTTATCCAGTTCCCTCTTGAAGCTGTCCATGCTTGTAGCCGCCGCCACCTCCTGTGGCCGTGAATTCCACGTGTTCATCACTCTTTGGGTGAAGAAGGACTTCCTTTGATCCGTTCTAACCCGACTGCTCCGCAATTTCATGGAGTGCCCACGAGTTCTTGTCTTGTGAGAAAGGGAGAAAAGTCCTTCTTTCTCGACCTGCTCTGTCCCGTGCACAATCTTATAAACTAACTGAAGTCTGGCAATCCGACATTCTACCTCTCTGACGTCCTTTCCCTCACCAGACCCTGCCTTCCTCTAGACCCACACCGAAATCTCCAGGAATTTCCTGTTTGAGAGTTGGGAACCTACTCTTGGTCCCTTCGGCGTGGCACCGGATCGGGCCCGTTCCTGCCTGTACCGGATCGGGCCGATCTATCCCAGCAAGGGTCAGCCTGAGACCTTGCACCTTCCCATGTATTTTTGCCCCTGGTGGTCGGTTATCAGGTAGACTGCTCCTGAAGGTGGAGGCTCCATGGCACCGCCGGGCGGCGGAATATACCCGTTATGAAGAACTCCCCCCCGCCCAGTCTGTCTACTCCAATGGTCACTGTGTGCCGGCAGACTCTCCCAAAGGAGAGACATACACATACGTAGCCCTCCGAACCCCCGATTTTTGATTTTTAAAAAATTCTTTGATGGCTTTCCCTGCCTCGTCTCTGCCCTTGACTGCGAGCGGCTCTAATGAAAGGAGCTTCCAGGGGCCTGCTCTTAATTAACCGTTAGTGTTGCTACCAGGGCTTCCTAGAGCTCCGGCAGTGACCCCCGACCCCCCCTCCCCTTCCCACTCATTGTGGGCTACAAGTGTTGATTTCTCTTTTGAAATGCAGGGCTCCTTAACCCTTTGAACCCCGGGGCTCCTTGCTTGTGGCGCTCCTGTGATCAGCTCTGTCAGGTTAATTAGGCAGGGCATGTGTGGGGCAGAGGTGGGGGGGGAGGGCTTTGTCTTACTCCACCCGGCCAGTGGGGAGAGGGGTTTTTTTTTTGCAACCTGAGCTCTTTTGGTAGCCGCCCGCGGGTTCCTCCTGGGGGCAATGCGGAGAGGGCCCCCTTCCATGTCCTTCTTTGAACTGTGCTCGGTCGGGCAAAGGGAGGGGGGGTCAAAATAATTACAGCCCCAGTGGAGGCATTGTGGAAATCCCCGCTAAATCCAGGCCTTCTCCTTAAAGGATTTGCAAAGAGGGGCGTGGAGGCGTAGAGGAGGAGGCAGGCTGGGGGTGGAGGGGTTGGGGCGGGGCGGCCTTGTCCCTGGTTTCCTGGCCGGAGGGCTGTGCGCCAGGCAGACGTTCAACAGGCAAAGGCCTTCCCCCTTGCCCAACGCGAGGGCGCTCACCTGTTGAATTTCTGCCCGTTCTACAGCCTATCGGAGTCCCGTTTCCCTGACTTGGAACAACCCGAGAGGGACTGTTACTTGTCTCGCTGGGCAGGACAGTTTGGTATAGTGGTTAGGGCGTAGACTCGAATCTGGGAGAACCTCCACGCGCAGCTGCTGGTGCGACCTTGGGTCAGTTACAAGCTCTCTCGGAGCTGTTCTCTCAAAGGCAGTCCTCAGGAGAACTCTCTCGGCCCCACAGGAAGGGAAGGGATAGGAGATGGTCAGCTGCTCTGAGACTCCTTCGGGCAGTGAAGGGCGGGGTATAAATCCAATCCTCCTCTTCTCCTACGGTGCCTGTCGATTTGCCCCGAGAGGGGAAATAGTGTCTCCTTTAGGCTGTTTCAGGTTGGTAAACTGAGGCAGGAGGTAGGCCGAGGCCTTCTTCTTTTCCTGGGCTCTGCTGTCAGAGTTGAGGCCCTGCACGCCTGGAAATCGAGTTTGGAGCTCTGCACGTAAAGCTTCTGTTTTGCTGTCCAGGCATTTGCCACGTGAACACGGTCATGTGTGACTCATCCCTAGGGCCTGTTATCAGTGGTTAAGACACTGAACTGCAGACTGGAAAGTCGGTAGTTCGGCAGTTTGAGACCCGAGTGTGCCGCATGACAGAGTGAGCTCCCGTCTCCGGCCCCAGCTCCTGCCAACCTAGCAGTTCGAAAGCAAGGCATTGCAAGTCAATAAATAGGTACCGAAGGACTCAGGGCTATTTTTGGGCAGGAATGCACAGGAATGGAGTTCTGGCTGGCTCCCGAGTTGGCCACGCCCAGCAGGAACTCATTAGCATAATAGGCCCCACCCAACAGCAGAAACTCATTAGGATTGGCTACATTAGGGGAGTGTGGCCTAACATGCAAAGGAGTTCCTGCTACAAAAAAAGCCCTGGCAACAAACAAGGTAAACAGAATAAGAAGCAAAAAGTGGGTGTGGCTGGATGAGCACACTTCTGGTAACATGGGGGTGTGGCCTAATATGCTAATGAGTTTCTGCTGTTGGGTGGGGCCTATTATGCTAACGAGTTCCTGCT